CAGATCCTCCAGGAAATGCTCTACGGGCCCGCGGTGGACTGGTGGGCCATGGGCGTGCTGCTCTACGAGATGCTGTGCGGCCACGCGCCCTTCGAGGCGGAGAACGAGGACGACCTCTTCGAGGCCATCCTGAACGACGAGGTAGTCTACCCTACGTGGCTCCACGAAGACGCCACGGGGATCCTGAAATCCGTAAGTGCGGCTCACCCGGCCGGCTCCCGACCTGCAGCACGCCAGCTCACTAGATGTGATTCTGTGTGTCTAACACCTCCACCCGTAAGCGGCCAACTTCAGCTGAGATAGGTATTTCCATCTGTAGGATCCAAGAGCCAGAGCTCTCTCTGGCTGCGTTCCTCTCTTATGCAACAGTTATTTCGAGCCAGCGGTGACAGCAGTCAATAGCGTTGTTCGCCACATAGCCGGTGTTTCTAGCACTTGTGGCTTTGGTGTGGGTGAAGTGATGCTCCCTTCGGTCAGGACACGCCAGGGTGTTGGGTCACATGACCACCGTTCCCGGTGTGTTGCGCTAGTGATGGTATTTCCGCGGGCAGTGTCCAAGGAGCAAGACCAAGGGCCCTTTCCCTTGGTGCTGGGAGGAGAGAGGGAGGTTTTCCAAACCTCTGCAGATCTCTCTTGCTTCCATGTTATCCTCATGCAAGCCAGGTGCCAGGCCCAGGATTCCGGTGCAGTGAGGTAATGCATCATGCTGAAAAAAGTGGTTTTTGCATGCATTTAAGGCCCTGTACTGGAAGCCTTATTTTGAAGTGAGGAGGAAATATGGATTGCTGCCTTTGTGTTGATAATAAAAAAGCACATGGTAATTTGGGTCCATTCTGTAATGACATTAGTTGAGTTCGAAAATCATGTATTACCACCTACTGTGTGCCTGGGGCAGTAAAGGCGAACACCAGGTCAGTACTTCAGGCTGCTGGTTCATTCCTGAAAGGTGTCAGTGGTGCCAGGAGCTTCAGTTAGAAGCCCAGGGAGCAGCTGCATTTCCTCACATAGGAACTCCAGTCCTGGAATAAAATTCGCCATCTTAACTTTTAAACTACAGCTCAGTAGCATTAAGTACATTCATCTGGTTGTACAGCCGCCGCCACCATCCATTTGCAGAACTTTTTCATCTTCCAAAACGGAAGCTCGATACCCCTTAAGCACTAACTCCCCCCAGTCCCGGGAAACCACCATTTCGCTTCTAGTCTCTATGAATGTTACTATTCCAGATACTGTGTATAAATGGAATTTGTACACTTGTCCTTTAGCAATTAAAAAATAAAATAAAAACCATGGGGTCAGAATCCAGATTCTCCTGACTCCCAGTCCAGGGTTCTGAGCTAGACTACATCTGGGCGTTTCCCATTTTTCTTCTACTTCCCATTAATAAGTGTCTTTTAACCTTAGAGCCCCACATTTTTAGCACGTAAGTCACTCCCTCATGTGACTCTGTCCTGTTGTCCCGGAAACATAAGCCATTGGAGGAAGCTACTAGGATGCTGTGTACTTACTACCCACACAGTGTGAATCTGCCACCTATTTAACTTTCAATAAAGTAGGATATCGTATTTATGATAATAATGTTACAGCATTGTTTAAAGATTATGCATTTGAATAATGCCATAATACCAGAAATAATTATTATTCTTTTCACCTGAGATGAGTCTGTGACCCTGGAAGATGAAACTGATGTTATAAACTAGAGTCTCTGTTTAATTCAGTTCAGCAGATATTTGTCAGATGCCTTCCCTTTGCTTGGCCTGTGCTTAGTGCTGGAATGAAGAGATGAAAAGACATGACCTCTTACGTTGCTCACAGTCCAGCAGGAATGAGAGCATGTAAACAAATACTCAGTTCACTGCCAAGAAGTGATCAGAACTCTCTCTGGGAGGCCAGGACAGGGAAGGTGACCTAAGGACAAGACAGAGGAAGTGGCATTTTAGCTGGGTGTTGAACAAATAAGGGTTCAGTGGGGTTGACAAGAGGAAGAAGAGTATCCTAGGCAGAGGAAATAACATGCACAAAGCCTCAAAGGTGGGAAGAAGCATGTGCGTGTTGAAAGACATGGAGTGTTAGGTGCAGGGTGGGGGCGTGAAAGATGAATTTAGGACGTGTGAACCTGAGGGTCTGGGGGACAGACCCTGCAGAAAGTGGTATAGACCTTGCAGTTGATCACATGGGTCTGGAACTCAGGAGAGAGGCTGGAGCTGATCACTCTAGCATGGCAGTGGGAACGTGGGGGCAGATATTGATTAGGGGAGAGGGGGAGGAGTAAGATGGGACAGCATGTAAGCGGTGACAGTGGAAGAGGGCTCAGTGAGAAGGTTAGGAAGGAATGACTTCAGGTTGTATAAACATCTACATCTACAGTTTTATTTGTGGTGAAATAGTCCAGTGGTTTTACAACGTGGGTTACCAGAAACTGGTGCTGCAGTAACTTTCGAGTAGCACTAGCTAGGTAGGAACAAGTGGTCCTAGGCCAGATAACCGAAGGCTCGCACAATGGATCTGTGCCAGGAGTTGGTTAAGCTGAGATATTTTTAAGGACTCTGGACAAGCTTTCATTTTGTTGTACGGTTCCAGATCAAGGGAAGGCACACTGCTTTCTTTTAAAAATACAGACTTCAGGCGTTCTAGGATTCTGTGAGCTTGGTGACTTCCAGAGTTCCTCGTGTTGAAAGCTGACTCCATTCGACGATGTCTTGCATAGCCTTAAAAACTCAGGAGGTCATGCTTGCTAAGTTTTGGATTGTAATCACTTGTCTTTACCCATAATTTCATAGAGCTGGGTGACTATTAGAAACACAGAATTTCAAAGAGGGCAGATCCTTAAAACACTGGATTCACATCTCTACTTGAGGGATGAAGCTAGGGCCCAAAGAGGTGAACCAGGTGCACATGGTGGGATGGAGAGAGCACACACTCATCAGAGGCAAGATACCTGGGCCTCATTGTACTTTTCCTCTGCTTTCCAGTAATGTAAGACGGTGATAACACCTGCAGTACCCACTTCAAATGAGGTAGTGCCCATGAAAGCATTTTCAAAGGGGCCTGCACTATGCAGGAGTAAGTCACTAGTGTTGTTAAGTTATGAGTAGCAATTTCACAACCCACTGAGAGGTGTCATCATCCTCTCCTTGGACAATTCGCCAACATCATCAAGGTTAGTAAGTGCCGCCCGGCCACGTGGCTCAGCAGTTGAGCATCGACCTAGGATCCAGGAGATCGAGGTTCGATCCCCGGTCAGGGCACATGCCCAGGTTGCGGGCTCGATCCCCAGTAGGGGGCGTGCAGGAGGCAGCCGATCCATGACTCTCTCATCATTGGTGTTTCTATCTCTCTCCTCTCCCTTCCTCTCTCTGAAATCAATAGATATATTTAAAAAAAAAAAAAAATTATTAAGTGCTAAATTGTATATAAGGCTGTGTTACATTTTTATTCTGTGGTTAGAGCATCGGACCAAGGACTAAAGTGTCTTGGGTTTGATTCCAGTCAAGAGAACATACCCTGGTTGTGAGTTCAATCCCTGGCCCCAGTCGGGGCACATGCAGGAGGCAGCCAATCAATGTGACTCTCTCACATCAATGTTTCTCTCTCTTTGTCTCTCCCCGTCCCTTCTACTCTCTCTAAAAAAAAAACAATGGAAAAAATATCCTTGGGTGAGGGTTAACAACAACAACAGAAAAGTCTGAGGTGCTTTGAGAATCTATAAGGGGCAGACCAGTGTAGGCTGTCAAAGGAGGCCATCCTGTGGAGACGACCTTCAAGCTGAGAATAAAGGCTGCAGAGAAGTTAGTCAGGGCTATAACTATGCAGAGATCTTGAGAAAGGAGAAGCCCGTTTGAGTAAGTTCGTGACTGAGGTGTTACCCACAAATGTGTGGGGTGATGGTGCATGTAGAAGACAGGACACGAAGGACACAGGAGACCACATGAAGGAGTTTAACCTTTATCTGAAGTGCCAAGACACATCATTGAAAGATTTCAAGCAAGCAGGAGTGACAAAATTATTTTTTCATATTTAAAAGATCACTCTGAATCAAATAGACTGAAGTAACACAGAGGAAATACTTGGGATTTTTTCCAAAATAGTCCAGGGGTGGCAGGGAGGAGCCGATCAAACAAGATTAGGCGTGTCAGTAACTTTCAAGGCTGGGAGATGGATATACATACTAACATGTCTTTGAAAATGTCCATAAATGGTTAATTTTTAAAAATTAACATATGAGTCAAAGTGTGTCTATACATAGGTGCCTGTGTATGCATATTTATATATGTATGTATACACATGTAGGCTGTGTAGAAAAAGTGAACTCAGCCTTCATGAATGAAGTGAGATTATTTAACAATACAAGTATATACAAAAAGAAAAAGTGATGTGAGCCATGGATCTAGCTACATCTTTTTTTGGTTTACTTTTTAATTTATTATGAAATATTTTAGTAACAATGGCTCTAGCTACATTTTTTTGATTCCCAATAAGAGTCTCAAGGTCCTGGACTGGGAGTCTGTATCACCCTGGTCATTTTTATGCTACAGACAAAATTAGTGGTTTTAGCATACTTATTCTTTAACATCCATGAACAGTCTCCATACCTTCTCAAGAAGTGTCCCTTCAACCCCCAAGTTCAGTACCTAAGTGTACCCCAAAGAAGGATTTTTAATAAATAAATGGAACAGAGGAGAGCTCTCTGGTAAACTTGGCCCCAAGGTGCACCTCTCCCTACCCTGCGCAATTCTTTTCTGCTGGGTTGGGTCTGCCTTTCCCACCAGAGAGGCAGGAAAGGACCAAGATCTCCCAGCTAGCCCTTTACATCTGCTCTCACCACTACCTCAGCCTGACAGATCATCCCCACTTGGCTTCCTGAGATTTCCTGATATTTTCTTTGGAACAAAAGGTCAGGACAGTTACTGGAATTGATGTCTGCTGGGTATTTTGCTTGGCCATTTTTTTCCCTTCAAAAGAAAATGCTTTCTGAATTCCTTCCTACCTTTTTAAATGGAAAGTATTATTTCATATCTGTAGAAACTGGGTAACCATTTATAATAAATAACATACCATAGAGTTAATAAAGACCTCAGGGCTTTGTATAGTGTAACAGTGTCAGTGAGTCCTCCGAATTCAGGGTGAGGGATGCTCTTGTCTGCAGAAAGTGGTTGAACAGGATGGGCACCAATGTCTTGCCCAATGTGACT